GACTAGTCAACCTCAGGGGTCTTCTCAGCCTTGCTGCTAAGTGGCCACAACTTGGTTATTACACTTCTGTGCCCCAAGTTTTTCAAGGGCTCCATGACAGTGTCCTCAGCTCCCCTAACCTTGAAATGCCCCACACAAAACACCAGATCACTAATAGTTGTCACACAAATAGAGCAGAGGCCATCCCTGCTGATCACACCTGCCACAGCACTGTGATATGTGTTCTTCTCAGATGCTAAATCTCTCCCCTTCCCCATCAATCCAACAGGCCTGAAATACTGCAGAAACACTGAGAAGTCCCTCACACAAAATAAAACATGATACAGAAACAACTACATCAATCTTCCACCCTCTCTGCATGGCCAGAAAAGTAAACTCATTAAAATAGAAAATGGACAGAACATGCTATCAACAAACACTGAGCAGAAATTAATCATGTAAGATGCTATCAGTCTTGGGGAGGGTACCTAGTCCTACCAACACCAGCTTATAGAAGAGCCCTGGGTAATCACTGAATGGCAACTCAGAATAAAATTTGGGTCCCATCATCACTCTGAAAATGTTCAATAACACCAGGCAACAATGTCCATTTTTGTTATGGCATTCCTCATGCACTCCCACAGCATTTTCCAAAGGGATGAGACATGTGAGACTTCTTTATTTAACAGGTAATGAGACTGTGATGTGGAAAAAATAAAGCCTGAATCAGACAGGTTGTATTGTAATGATTTTTTGGGCTTACTGTACTACTGTAGCTTAAGCACTTCTGCAGCAGTGTGCAAGCATTTGTTGACCCAAAATTATGTTACTGAATTGACAAATCTTACACAACACCCAAATGCATAAAGAAAATGTGCTCCTTGTGCCATTCTGGTTTGAAGAAACATTACACTTCAAAGAGCAAGTTCATGCTAAAAATGGCCAAACCCCACCATGTGACTCAAAGTTCTTTCCTTTTGCTTTGTGAAAATACACCTTTTTTGCCTTCAGAATAATTTTAGTTTTCCGTTTGAGCCAGAAGTTTCCTTCAACCTAATGAAAACACTTGCAGTGTGAGAAGGCCATCACCTGCCTCATTCCGTCTAAAGCTCTGTTGTAAGTAAGGATGGTGTTTCATGTTTCTTGTCTCACTACAAACACTTCATTCCCGATGTCAGGTGGCCTCCAGGACTCCAGCAAGTCAGGCAGATTTACCAGCCACACCACCAGCATCCCAGGAGAGAGCTCCACCCCTGGGGATGCAAGTGCAGGATAACACAGTGCAGATGGAGCAAAAATGGAAAATCTGCCTCTCTAACAGGGCTCCAAACACAGCTCCGGCTCCTCCAGCTGCCCAAGAGCCACTCACTGCCTGAGGGCTCAGGGCAAAGGAGCTCTCAAACATGGTTTCTAATCATTCAGGAGCCACTATCGGGCTTTTGCTTTAAAACCTAAAATTTATTTAATGGAAAGTAGAGCTGTGCTTTTGAAGAAACAGAAAGAAAAATAATAGAAAGAATGTTTAAGGAAGCGGAGAAGATAGGAGTGGCACAGAAGGAAATGAAATAAAACCCAAAACAAATGTTTATAAATTTTTAAGTAACGATGTGTGTCATCCAGCAGGCAGACCCCGTGCCGAAGAGCATAAAACCAAACTATAAAAAGCCAGCAGAGAACTGGTGGTTATATCGCACGCTCTGCCAACCCTTTTAGCCACCATCACAGAAATTACCCACAAGAGTGGTATGTCAGTCACAAGAAGATGCCCACATGAACGTCTGCAGATCGATAACTGAGACAGAGGTTACAGGCAGCCAGCAATTCAAACCTGGATCCGATTACAGGAGCTGTGCCAGGGAACGACAGGCTCAGGAGCAGATGGATGGTCTAAGCCCCTCACCTGCTAATGTGTGATCCCTGCACTTCCTGCAGCCCAGCGGCTCACAGGACCCCGGGGAGCATCCTTCAGCAACCACAGTGTGCTTCCCAATTGCAAGCCAGTTCCTGGAAGCCAAAACCTCTGTGTCTTTTTGCTAATTTCTACTGCTTTCCATTTTTCTTGAAGATTTGGACTGGCTGTTTGAAGCCTGGCTTCACTTGCAGCAGTCCCATAATGCCTGACCTTTTGCAAACAGTTTTGCTTTGGAGAATGAAGGAAATGTATATATTCGGTAGTTTGGGCAATATGAGGGGCAACTGCTAAGCTAAAAAACTATCTGTGCAGCCAGCAAGGGGAGGGAACTGCAAACTATGCTGTACTAGATGAATATCAATTGATTAAGCATTAAATATCAATTTATTCTTCTATTATCAATAGATTATTGATATAATATTGATATATTATCAACCAAAATATCAATTAACTATCAATTTAGTAAATATTAACCCCAAGACATGGCTCTTTTCTTCTTTCATTTCAATCCAAACTGCTTAAATATTTCAAGAAAATAATATTTTGGGGGTGGGGGGTTGTCTGTATTATGACCACAATCATTTTTCAGCTGGGAAAGAGAAACAAGTAATGGAATTGTATTGCCTCTCTGTGGATATTTTGCCAGTTCACAGCATGTAACTGTCCACTGGATGTAACACGTTCCCTTACCAGAGCACACTGCTGGAGCAAAGGTGAGACAGGAGCACCACAGGGAGAAAGCTCTGCACAACATGCTCCATGGATGCTGCTGTGGGATAATGGAGAAGCTCTATGCTCTCCACCACTGTAGCAGATGTATCTAGCCCTAGATCTTCATCTTCAGATCTAGTCCCCACCACTGGAGGCAACCAGCCACATCACATCTCCCCTTTTTTGACATCTGTTAGTGTAGTCAAGCACTCCAAACATGAACTGTCACACTGGAAAGGCCCCAGAGAGGAGGAGGGGGAGCGCAGGCAGGCAGCAGCATAACCACTCCCTTCCTTTCACCATGGCTGTCCATCCTCTGGCCAGAGAAGGGCCACAGGTTCCCAGCTGAGAGCTTCTCTTTAGGAATATGATAGTGCCAAGCACCATCCAAACTAGAGTTCATCCTTGTGCTCCATAACACTGAAGGAGAAGGGGGCACCAATGCAAGTCAGACTCTGAAGAAGGTGTCCCTTGAACTAAATCCAATCTTCCTCCCACATACAACTTCAGGTACAACAGATGCACATGGCTGAGAAGGGAGAGGAACTGCTATTGCTACCTCCACCCTTGCCCTGACCCAAGCCAGGGTCTCCACAAGAGCTCAATACTCCTCCAAACTTAGAGCTCTGCCAGAAGCAGCACAGCCCAATACGGCATCTCCTCAGTGGGAATCCAGGCACAGTGAAGCAGTCATCTCCCCATGATACTGGGGGAAAGGGACAAACCCAGACCTACAAAGCAGATGCAGGAACAGAGCTGCAAAGCCCCATTCAGTGATGATGCTGTTTCCAGCATTAACCCTCATCTTGCAGCCCAGCCCGTTCCATTGGGAAAAGGCAGAGAGCAAAAATGCCCAGAGCTGCTGCATGGAACCAGCCATCAGCTCAAACTTGAGAACAAGAAAGACTCAGGCCACCACCCTGCCTTCAAGCCATGGCTTTGTCCCTCTGTCACCTTTAGTCAGGACATCCTAGAATGAGCACAGGACAGCAGAGGTGTCTGACAGGCGTCAGTGCATATCCACCTGAATTTTCTCAGCATCCATGTAAGCTCCATCAGGGTTTCAGAGCGCACCAAATCAGTGCTTGAAACAAGCACACAGTTATTTGCCTGTGCTGCAGCATGGCAGCGTGGGGGCTGGAACAGCCAGAGTGGTCTGCTTGAACAGTCGTGTTCCACAGCTCTCTAGAAAACTGCCTTCTGGTTTACCATTTAAAAATATGTTGCAGCTGCTATTTTCAGAGACAGTACTGTCAGGACGCTGTAGGCCTACAGTCCTGCTACCATGCAGCAAAATTCAGTGTCCACATTGACTCCCTTCAAAGCATAAACCCTGCTTTAAAAATCATTTATTCCAGGAGTCCTTGCTATCGGCATTTACTTCGTGGGGGGCACAAAGTGTGCCTGTGGCTCTACCACAGCTGTTAATAGAGATGCAAAGTAAAACCAGCCTCTGTAAAGGACAAGTTATTTCAGGTTTCTGTTACATGTCAGAATAGGGCAAAGGTAAAACTGCATATGTAGTAGTTGCTTTAAGCTTAGACATGATAATGTATTATTATGAATAATATAACATTAGCTAGGGAGTAGAAATGAACCATTTATTGAACAGGAGAACAACGTATAAAGGTACTGTTCCCCGATAGACTGCAGTGTGTGCAGCCCAGGTACAGAGTCAATGGTACAGGTCTCTTCACAAAGACTTCCAAGATTAAGGCACAGCAATAATGCAGCCATGGCAATGGTACTTTGACAGTACATAGAACATATGGAAATGTATGTTTATTTAAAAGTTAGTTCTTTGGAGCTGCTTTCCTTGACCTATTCTCTTCTGTATTCTTGGTCACATAGAGCTTGCAAATATGAAAGGGCAATCTCTTACATGTTTTGCTTGTAAAAATTCTTGCTTTGATTTTAATAATAAATCATAGCTTGGCTTCAACTGTGCAGGAGTAAGAAATGCTCAGAAAGAATGTGCACGTGACTGTTCAGAGGGATGGATCAAATAGAACAAATGCCAGAGGGATGGAACAAACGCCTACCTGGCCACTGTGCTATTTCATGGTGTGCCCATTTGGGGAGGGGAAAGAAGGAAAGAAGGTAAGCCCAAGTGAGTTTGCACTTGATCCTCAACACAGTGAGACTCATGATCATGCTTGTCTCTCACAGAAGTGAGATTTTTACAACCTCTTCAGCTCTGCTCTGCTCTGCTCTCCACACTGCCCGAGTCAAGCTGTTGAAATTTTTTTGTAATAGAGAGCTTATCTGTTAAAATATGCAGTATCTGGTTCTGGTCTGGAAAATTATTCTAAATTATTGCTGAATTCAGCAAAGCAAGGAAGGAAGGAAGAAAATCTTGTCTTCATTTTAGTATTTTTGGAACTGAAGCTTTTGGGGGTTTTTATTTCAATGCAACATTTCATTTGGAAGTATACCTGAAAGTTAAAGAAAAATACACACATAAGAATCTTCCAATTGAAATTGTACTATTTTCCCCCTCCAAAACCAGGTATATCAGTCAACGATAAACTGGTTTATATGGATCTCTTATGGGGAGGAAAAATAATCACTCATGAACCTCTTTTCACCCTGACTTTTAGATTTGGCTGGTGATAGAAGAATCAATCATTTGTATTGCTATAATGTGAACCTCCTCAGCTGCCTAATGATTTGCACTGCTCCCACAAGCACAGCTACCCCTGAGGCCATGGGGAGAGAAGATATCCATCCCTCTAGGAGCTTGGATGACTTCCACAGATTTTTTTGGCATCCACCATATCCAGTTCAGAACTCTACAAAGTGGCTTACTGACCGATGTGCTCACCCGCAAGCTGTGTTGTGAAACAGGCTGGTAGCTGAGTTCTCCATGCTTTGGAGAAAGCTGGGAGCCTGCAGGTCTTCACCAGATTTTAGAGACAGAGAGCCCAGGGTTGCTATCTGACACCCTCCCCCCCCCAGTAACCAGGCATAGACACACACCGTGACAGTCACCACATCTGCAAGTCACGAACGTGTGTGATACCACCCCCGGGGATCAGTTTGATAAAATGAAACCCATCTGCCAAGCTGTCAGGAGCAGGAGGGAGCCTCTTTCCCCCTCCTGGTTATCCTGGTGCTCATTAGCACCGGCAGGTGCAGAAGACACTTACAGCCACCAATGGCAGAACTCACTGATGCCAGACTGCCCCAAAAAAGGAGGACATGTGCCTGCAAGGCTGTGCCCCTTCCCTCTGATATTATGTAGGCTCTTGTTTGGTGAGCTACTTGGCATACATGCCCTCATCTCAGCTGGTGCTTCTAAGAGCTCTTGCTGGCCAGGTGATACCAGGGTTTCCAGCCATTTCCATTCCCTCCAGCCACTGCTTAGAGATGGGACACAGCACCATATTCTGCAGAAGAGCAGGTAGAATGTGTGACAGACACACACCCCACACCCCACACCCCACACCCCCTTCGCTGGATGCACACCCAGATATGATACACATACTATAGAAAAGTGCTAGGATCCAGCTGAATCCTACTACAGACAGCAGCTATGCACAGAGATAGTGTAGCTAGCATGAGGACAGTGTAGCAACGGGGGGAGAAGGGGGAAGGAGGGGAGCAAATTCCACAGGTTAGGCATGTATTACAGCTCTTCTGAGGTGAACAATTCCATAAAAGCAGGCAAGGACTAGAACAAATTTAACAGGGACCTAAAAAGGTGTTTTTTACCATGAGCTTCAATCATCATTTTCACCCTGCATAAAATCAGAAAGGACTTCAGGATTTAACTCAGGGAATTTAACAGCTTGCAGAGATGACAGACTTCTCAAATGTTTTAAATCAATCTCTGAACAAACTAAGTCCTTCTGTGCCCTTCAGCTAAAGTTGCTCTTGCATTTTACTTATGCTGCTGCAAAAATATCTACATACATATATTTTAAATTCCTAATCTCCATTTATTATTCAAAATGAGAAATACTGCAAAGGTAAAACATGTTTTAAGTTAATCCTTTTTTTTTTCTATGTGTGAGCCATTTCCTTCATTTTAGAAGGAGCCTTTAGATCTCCTTAAGAAAAAGCATCCTTTCTGTGGAGGAGCACAAAATATGTATCAAATGGGGGGGGGGGGGGGGCACGGGGGGGAAGGGTGAAGGGTCTGGGGGGGAGAAGGAGAAAGGCAGATTTTATTTTTTCTGGGCTAAAAAACGTTTGAGACTCAGCTCCACATTCCAAGCTGGAAACTCACCTACAAAAGCAATTCCTGAAGGTGTGGAGACAACGCTGCACAGTGCCTGGCACTGCCTGACCCAAAGCTGCCTGAATTCAAGTGTGATTTCCCCAAGTAACAACACTATTCAGTGGCTCCATTCAGACAAAATTTCCACCAGCCCCCACAGATGCTGTGCCTGATGGTCCAGCCTGTTCACCTTCCTGCAAGTACTCCAAACTCCTCAGCTTTGCTGTTCGGTTGCTATGGCATGATGGAAGGCCACCTCCACCTTGAAACACAGCATCCTGGAACAAGCATTGGGAATTAGGTCTCTGTGTCAGTAAAGTGCTTTGTGCCTTGGTCTTACCTTCTGTAAAACAGGAAGAATCCTCCCCATTTCATAGAGCTTCTTGAGTACTACAGGTGAAATCACCTTGTAAATGTGAAATATTTTTGCAGTTTCTCCCCATTGCCATAAAATGAGGTCATGTTCAAAAAGGTAAAGATAGTTCCCCTAGCATCGTACCATTTCCAAATGGGATTGTACCTCTTTTGAACATGCCTGCTTCTCAAGTTCCTTTCACTGACTTGCAAACTACTGAGCCAGCATACCATTAAGTACACAGTCTCTAGGGTTGTGGGTCACTGCAAAATGTATGCACATTTCTTTAAACCAGTTTCATTTCATTTGCATCTCATTTTCTATGCCTCTGTATTTCTACAGGTCTCTATATTGCAGAAGTGTTTCTGCAATGAGTAACTTATCTGCGTACAATACACTCCCTGAAAAAAACAATCCGAGTAGCAGCAAAGTCGATAGCATGCTGCCTTCTGAGCAGCACACCAGGAATGAGTCCAGGAATAAGATGTATCAGTTAAATAAATCTCTATTTAAAAGATGCATAATGGGAATAAAAGCAGACACAGTCCATAGCCTAGGAAAGGACACTTGATCTTTTTTCCAAAGCAACTTAATTCATCTATGTCTTTAATTTCATAAAATGAACGCAGTACTGGTTACAAATGATGGACTGACAGTTCTAAAGACTGAGCAGCTCTATTTTTACAGCACTGAGTAGCATTGATCCTTCTTCTAAGTCAATAAAAAGTCTTCTTTAAGTCACTCTGGTCTGTAAGTTATTGAACACCTTCCTCAGCATGAAAGTCCATGCAAGTTGAGGCATTTAGTGAGTCCAAAGGAAGCAGAATTGGATCTGTGCAGCTGGTTGTGTTATGATAGGACCAACAAGAAGCCTCACCAACCACAGCTTGCTGTAAAAGTCACTCAAGCTTTAGTGAGATAAAGCATCTTGAAATCTAGTTAACAGGCTTAGATTTCTCAGCCTTTTTTAGCCCTTGAGGGGCCTCATTCAGTAGCAGATGGAGATGGGAAGGAAAGAGGAATAGGGAAGGATTTCATCAATGAGACTCCCAGGTTCCATTCATGAACCTACAAAGAGTGATTCCTGAGACAAAACGACCACATTTCTGGGGCAAGAGCCATCTTTCAGATTGGGCTCACAGTTTAACTAATATTTAGGGTGGTCCAGCGAGCTAGCACTTATCATAACTTAAAAAAAATGAAAAAAAGGGGCAATTCCTTTCCCTTTGAATATTTCAAGTCATGATACATTTCAGATATTTTGCATTCTCTTTTGGTAACTGCTTTAAAACAAACCATTAAAGAGTCTGCTTTTTCCAGCCTAACCCATGCATTGTCAATCTTGAAGCGTTTTGCTAGCTAAATATAGTCCCTGCCCCACAGCCTATGGATCAAGAGTGCTGACAGCTAATACAAAGTAATTGCTTTTTCCCCTTTGTTGACAACAGCAAGTGGCATTCTACATGTGAGAGGCTTTGCCCCTATTTCTTTTTGTTCCTCACTTGAGTACAGGTCCTGTACCTCAATCTACAGACCAGAAGAGCAGCCCCCAGCTAGCTCTGACACCTTGCTGTGGTCATGACTGGCAGACTTCAGGTGTGGAAAAGGGGCTTCACGGAAAGACTAATGAACAAACAAGATGCATATATGGAAAACATGGGAGGATTACGCAGGTTGATGGTACATCCCAAAGAGGTGAGTAAATGAGCATCGCTCTTTTTTAACCATGATACTAAAGCACACCTGAGAAAAGTCCATGTTCACAGCAGCTTCTTAATGCAACCCTCTGTTTTCTTACCTTAGTGGTATTTATAGCAGTAAAAAGATAAAGGAAGAAGTCAATTCCACTGAGAAATCGCAGAAGGCATGTTCTTGCCAGGTACTGAGTTCTCACACCTACCAAGGATGGATGAGAACACAAAGCCCCGCTCAGAACCGAAACTGTGGGTGCTGGGACTTCATCGTGGAAATGTGAGCAACATGTACAGTAGAGTCGAAGTTTTCTACAAGGAACCAAATCTGAGCACATACATGCACAAAAAGATAAAGCAAAAAAGGGGGATGGGGGAGGAGACTACCAAAAAAGCATTTCTGGGTCCTTGCAAGCTCAATATTAGGTGTAACAGCTGTATAAACTGCTGTCTAGGTAGCCTTCTAAACTAATGAAATTGCCTATGCAACTCTGCTACTGAAGTAGCACTTGATGGATCTAGTTTTCAAATGACCACCATTCTAATTGTTTCTCAGTTTATCGATTTCCTTGTCACTATGCAGAAAATAAGAGGAGACTGTTTATAAAACATACCTACAGGGAGGTGGAAAAATACAGTTCTGGGTTAAGCTAGCCCAGACGAAGCCACTGGGTCCCTCCCGCCGGAGAACCTGCTTTGCTCCAGCTTCACAGCGGTGGCCGAATACTGCCGGCAGGCGGGTACCCACCCATCCCACCAACCGCGGCAGGAGATCCACCAGGACCCAGGCAAAAGTTGCGTGCGAAGCAAGCCCGGCCCCAGACGATACCCAGCGATGCCGGGAGAGCCCAGGGCAGGGGCAGCCATCCAGGCAGGTCCGCTGCTGCCCCATCCTGTGGAGCGGGTCCCCACTGCCCCGACCCGCTGTACTCACCCGGTCTCCTCCTCACCGGCCTTTTCCTGCCGCTGCAGAAGCGTACTTTGCTGAAGACCCCTAGGACGTGCCTCTCGCAGAGGGAGCGTCCGTCCTTGCTGGGGCTGGAGCGGCGCTTGGAGGCGGACACCCGGTCGCTGTTGGACTCCCTCGCCTGCCGCTTCTGCCGGATCAACGAGCTGGCGATAGCCGCTGCCATCGCCGCTCATGGGCCCCCCTGCGACGCGCCGCTCCGGGGGGCGCCACCCGGGCGTTGGGGCCGAGCCGCGGCCGCGCCCCGCGGGGACGGGGTACGGGGACGCCCCGCTTAACGCGCTGCAGCCCCGAGTCCCGGCGCCGGGGAGGGCTCAGCCGGCCAGGCGAAGCAGGGCGCCCGGGCTAACAACCATGGCTGGGCGTTGGACCCCGCCGCCCATGGGTCTGTCCCTGGGGAGCGCAAATCCCGGCGCGGGCGGCCGTCGGCGAGACCCCTGGCCGTGCTGGCAGTGCCCCGCGGCTTGTAAATCCGGGAGGCTGCTGTCCCACTTGTAATGCTTCGCCGGCGGCAGCTGTGTCCAAAGGATAGGGTGTGAGGAAAGGGGTTCGCGGAGGATCCGCAGGTCCCTGCGGCGCGGTGCCGCTCCGCCCGGGCGCAGGCGGCGGCGCTTCTTCCTGCCGGCCGCCCTCCGCCGAGGAGCCGTGGGGTGAGTCAGAGTCCCCCCAGCCCGCGGCCGGCCCCGGCCCCAGCGCGGTGGCTCCGAGGCGCGGCGCGGCACTGCGCGCACATGGACGCGGCTCTGCTCCGCACCCGCGGCCGGGCTCAGGGCGAGCCGCGCTGCATTTCTGTTTGCACTCCTCCTCTTCCTCTATTCCCCCCCTCCCCACTCCGCTCTCAGAGAGGGCGGGAGGGGAAGGAAAAAGCAGAAAAGCAGCCACGAGAAAAAGCACCAGGTCAGCAAACAAACAGAAAAAGAAGGTATGTAATTAAGTTACATTAAAAAATTAAAAATTTAAAAAAAAAAAAGAGTCTCCCGGCCGCGGGTGGGGGCTCACATCGCCGCAGCTCGGCGCCCCGGGCTCACAGCGCCATGGCTGGCGAAGCTCTCCCAGCCCTGCTCTCCGCTTCTGCCCCGGCAGCGGCTCTCCCCGACGGCAGCAACCCACATCGTCCGGCCCGGCGGGAGGCCGCGGAGCTCTCGGCACCGGGTCGGCACGGGGCTCGGCTGCCGCGGAGGGGACGGAGGCGGGAGGAGCGATGAAAGATGAAAGGCGGGGAGGAGAGGGGAAGGGGGGTCTCGGGGGGGGGGGGGGGGGGGGGTGCGGATCTCAGGGTGCTCCGCGGTGCCACCCGACGGCAGCGGGGCCGGGAGGAGCCGAGCCGCGCCCGCTACCCGTCTGCATCCTCCGGCCCGGCCCGGGGAGAGGAGGGGGGAGCGAGGGGAGGAGAGGGGAGGGAGGGGCCGGGGAAGCCCCCCCGGACTCCCACGCCGCGCGGAGCTGCTGCCAAGGTGGCGGGGAGCCCCGCAACCACCGGGCCGGGCTGGGCTGGGCTCAGGGGGAATTGCAGCTGCTCCCGCTCACCCTCCTCTACGCAATCCTACGTGATCGAGGTTTGGATGAGAAAAATCGCGCAGGCAGAGAGAGGCAACTGCAGCTTCGCGGCGGCCCTGCCCCTCCGCCCGGGCAGGGCAGCCCCCGAGCTGGGGAGCCGGGCTTCCCCCGCGCCGCAGCCCCGCCCGACCCTCGGGGGAGCCGCCTGCCACTTGTGCAGCCACCCGCCCACGTCCTCGGCTTTTGCCGTAGGTGCCCGAGCGCCCAGCCTCAGCAGCCGACCACCTCTATGGCTTTCCCTGCTTCTTCGTGCAAACAGAGAGAGGACGACAGCCCCGGCACCCCAAGGGCTGCGCTGCCGCGGGGCCGATGCCTCTCCTGGGGAGCCTGCAAGGCGACTGCAGTGGTGGGCACTGCCGCGCAGGCTGTCGTCAGAGCGGTCCCACGGCAGCCCACCAGTTTATCAGCAGATGCTCTGCTCGGGCCGACCCGCAGGAGCTGGGCGGGCTCCCTCCTATCTCCAGACACAAAACTGCACTGAGCAAAATTTAAGGTGCAGAAAAACATCTCTGGCTATCCAGATGAGTAACTGCTGCTGCTGCACTAAGAACGGTGTTCTACAGATTTCAGGTTCAAGTAAGAGCTAACGAATGTATGTGTAGGAAGTGATGAGCATCTTGCATCTCAAGGGAGCATACAGTGGTCGGAGTGGAGGGAAAGGAGATCTCAGCTGGAGAAAGGAAACCTGCCCCAGGTACACTTTGGTGAATACCAATGGCAGGACAAGACTAACTCAGTCCTGAGGGTGTACATTTGAAGCATGTACCCAGCTGAAGAGGACACTTTAAACCAGTTGGTGACACACCCTGGGAATTACAAACTTCAGCAAAATAATCTTTGTAACTACTTCATTGCAAGAACTTTATCTCTAAACTATTTTAATGTATTGGGGAAAAAATGCGACTGAAACAACCACCCATTATGTCCATAAATATTAACTAAATTCCAGCATTACTTCCTGATTTTCACTCTTACTCCCTGTGCATGCCAAAATGAGGTGGAATCAGGTTCCCCAGGAGAGAACGGGGGAGAAGGATATTCAGAACCTTTTGGAAAATATAAATATTTGGCTATTGATCTTTTTTTTAACTGCTGCCAACTTTTTTGCGCAGATTTCACTGTCCCAATCAATCAAGATTTTTCTCCCCTTTCCTGTAACTAAAATGCTTCATATTTTAATTTTCTCTGCCAGATTATTTCACTTGACATCAAAGAATGTTGCAGTACAAGGTACAGGCATGGCCTAAAGAAAGCTGTTTGCAGTCAGAGAATCACTGTCTGAAATGCCAGTGAATTATCCAAAGCTTCACCTTCAAAGGGTATGAGCAAATCTGGTATCTTCCCAGGAAAGAGGTTTTCCATACATATATTAAGATACTTTTTTTGCCTGTAGTCTTCAAAACACTGGTGAAAGAATGCTGGTTTATTCCACCCCCATATTAGATAACTTTCACTTATTTAGCATGTGACTAATTTGTTTTCTTGTGTAGCTGTAAACCAGGAGCAGCAGCTCTGCATTTAAAAATGATCCTAATCAGTGATAAAGTTGGTCACAGTATTTTATTTTCCTGGTGATTTGTGAATCTGAAAAGAGAGTCAACTGTAAGAAGAAATCCTTCTCCCAGGTCTCGCTGCTTCTGCAGTGATGGAATTAAAGCAGAGATTGTGAAACTGAATATAATGCTGCTTTTCCCAAATATGCAGGTCTGTCTGTCTTTATAGTTGGCCAAGGAGTCCACAGGTTTGGTTCTGAGCACAGGTACAGTGCCATAAACTCCTGGTAACATTACTGGCATATGTATCTGTTCTGCACCACTCTGGATCATGCCCCAGCTTCATCAATGAGAGCCCATGCTTTCATAAACACCAAGCAAGCCCAGAGTAGTCTTGAGGTGGGGAACTGAAGGCCAACCTCATACTGCACCTGCACTGTCGCTCTCAAAAAGTTACATGGTGCGCGCTATGAAGTGGGGAGGAGAGAATAGCATTGATTCATAAAACAAACAAGCAAAATGGCATTTTGATCATGCTAGAGAGACATGGCAATGCCCGTCCTGCAGTTTGTGCAGAAAGGCCCCATCCTTCACACAGGAGAAACCAGAGGATCAGACTCCCCACGGCTGTTGGAGAATCAGTCTCACAATGCTTGTTAAATATCCCTACTCCACCCAAGCATACAGGAGCCTCTGTACTAGCCACTTGATATTGAAGGAGGCTGATATAAAGATTTCAAGGCACTGTCATTTCTGAGGTTTTGTTCACTTGACAAATAAACTCTTCAGTCCTCAGTGCTGAGGCTTAAAATGAAGGGCTGGCTGAATTTCAGAGTTCCGGCGGCTTGAACAGAGAAGTGATCTAGAATTGCATTCCCTTACCTTCCTAAACAGAATGATCTATCTAGGTCAAAACGGAGGTTATTGGCATCTTTCCTTAGTGAAGTGTAATAATTCCCGCAGGGTTGCTAACAGAATATCCTGTTTATTTTTCATAGAGCCTTCAAAAGCCATGGGCTATATTCTGTGGATTCAGTCATTAGGCATATCTCTGCTTTACTAATTCTGTATGCACAGAGCAAACTACAGATAGAAGCATATGCAGGTTTTTTGCTGTTTTATCTGCATAGCTACTGAAAATATATGAATGAAAGTTAAGGAAGAGATTTAAATTTCATACCACTTTAATATATATGCGTGTATTGCTGTAGTTGACTGGGTAGAAGAAAGAAGCCCATCCCTGGCCAATAACTGTGAATGGCCTAATTCACCATTTTACAGCAGCATAGCAACAAATCTCTTCCAATAGGAAGGCACTGTTGAGTTTGAAAGTCTGCATGCAGACACCTCTTAAGAATTGTACCCAATTTCCACGCTGTGTAAATTACATCTAAAATGTGCATTTCCAGGCCTGCTTATTAAGCAGAATTAAGCGCATATCCATGTTTTATTAACTTTATCCTTTGCAGGGGAGCCCCTTGTTGCATGTCTAGCATAATTAAACCTCACGCAGCTTTGGCATTCCCCAGTCTCTCTGTGTGGGTGGACGTTTGAAAAAAAACACGCCTGGGTAACCTGATAGAGAAAAGAAAAGACCTTGAAATATTTTGCCCATTTTGTGTGCACTGTAATTCTGTTTACAATGCATGGGTTTATAGCTATGTTTGGATGCCTAATAAGAATTCACATGTTCACTTAAAAATATGCTATTCGTGGAGAGATCCAGCCCTAAAACAGCAGTGGAGTATGAAAACTGGCTGGCTTTCTGGGCTTTTCTCACACAGCTGAGCTCTGAGCTGCCTAGGCCTTTTAATAAGCACAGAAGAGCCTACATCATATGATTGCTATATTAAAATAATTTATTTAATGGGCCCCTCACCCCCTTTTTTTTGCTTCAAATATTCAATTAAAATTTGCAACTCATCACGAGGAGTATTCATTAGCCTATCCGGTGTCTTTAGAAACAGCTCTAGCCTAGAGAAAAGTGGGGCTTGTCTGTCTTAAAGCAAATGTCAGGTAAGCATTTATGCAGATTGCAGAATGAAACCACTGCTGCATAAACTGGTCACAGGCAGCACTAACACTATGAAACCAAATGGAGCCCAGAAAAAATAAATATTTCTACTTGGATTTTATATGTTCATCTACGTTTTTTCTTTTTGAAGGGAGGGCTTCTAGTTAACAGAAGATTTTCTTTCTCTTCAGTGACCTATACCAGATGGAGGCAGGGAAACACAAGAAAGCTCTGCTTGAAGGAAACCATGGCTGTCTAAGAATGAAAATGCCATGATGCATTTCTCTTCAAGGAGCCTCCTGCATGGCTGAAAACAAATTGTCTCCTGGGTTCTGGAAGTCCCTGCTAGGAACAGCAGGAAGGCACACTGTCTAGGGTAGATTCTGCTGCCTACGCCTTGCTGCAGAAGCTGCACCACCCCAAAATCAAGCCTGACAATGAGTAGTAGCAGGGGGCATCTGAAACTGTTCCCACATATGGAGAGAGACCTCCCTGCAGACAGGCCAACGCCTATCTTACATGTCAGGGCAAGACCTGGGGATTCTTCAGGATGGGCTCATCTCAAAGCTGCTGTTATCACCCCAACAGCCCTGTTCATCGGCCCTTCTACCATCGCCTTCCCCAGTGGGATGTCATTAAGGTGATGCAGGGAGGAGGCCTCATTGAAGGGTCTCCACCGTGGAGCAAAGAAAGGATTGTTGCTCTGCACAGATAACATTGTGCAAGGCAGAGCTAAGAGCCCTCTCTTCCTGAACAAGGGACACAAAGCTAACCAGCTGCTCCAGCCTTAGAAGCGCCCATCTAAACATAGAATCATAAAATCACAGAATAGTTAGGGTTGGAAAGGACCTTAAGACCATGTAGTTCCAACCTCCCCTGCCATGGGCAAGGACACCTTACACTAAACCATGTCACCCAAGGCTCTGTCCAACCTGGCCCTGAATACTACCAGGGATGGAGCATTTACCACTTCTCTGGGCACCCTGTGCCTGGGACTTGCTGAGAAAACTCAAGTATCTTCTTGCCTGTACTACAGCCGCTGAATTTAAAAGACGGGACAGACAACTGCCTCCCTTCCTTCCACCCTCCACCTCTTCTTCCTCAGTGGGTTTCTCCCAACATCCAGCAACAACCT